GGCTCGGCCGCCGCCCCCGACGAGCTCCTGACCTCCTCCCGCATCTCCCCTCTCTCTCTCTCTCCGGCGCCTCTCTCCCTCTCCTGAGGCGAAATGGGGAAATGAGCTCCTGACCGCGACGCGCAGAGCGAATTAACGGCGGTGCCACCGGTCGTTAGCCCCGTCTCACGCCGTCAACCTCACGGCCCGCTCAACCCAAAGCCCACACTAACTGGGCCGAGCATGGGCCCCACCTTTCCAGGCCCAAAGCTATCCACCGGGCCTAGCTCAGGCCCGTATCCCTCGTCACTCTCTCTCCGTGCTGACCTGACGACCCGTGGGCTCTCCCACCTGCAGCATCTCTTCTTCATCTCCGGCTCCTCTCCCCCGATCTCTCGCCCGCGACCTGCTCCGATACCCTGCGAAGTACGGACTCCGGCGAGCTTACGGGGCTCGCGCGGCGAGCTCGCGGCCGCGATGGACGAGGCGGGCACCTCGTCGTCCGCAGGCTCCGCCCCGCGCGGAGGGCGCCCGGCGAGATCGGGAGGTGAGCCAGGTTTTGATCACGCCGCTCGCTTCGATTCGGCCGCTGATGAGCTGTGCAGCGCATCCGTCTGCGTGAGTAGGTGGCTCCGTATGCTAGGGCTGGTAGCTGTCTGCGATCTCGAGAAATTTGTGCGACGAATGCATCTTAGCTGCCATATGTGGATTTACCTCTGCGTGCTACGGTCGTCACTTGACTTTGGTGATCTTGGGTGTGGGCGTGCTATGTTAGTTGGGTTTCATATCATTCAGAGGCCATTTTGCATAGGGTCAATCGAGTGAGGACATAGGCAATCCACATCATCATCTAGATCGAGGGAGATGCAAATGTAAAATGTTGATGCGCTATCAGCAAGCTTCGTTGTGTCAACTCCATACTGAAATTGTTTCTTGCACAGCAGGACAGTGAATGTCGTTTACGCACTTACAGATTATAGGTTTCTTCCCACCTGATGCTATCTAGGTTGATCATGTCGGTTTTGCAGTATTCTATAAGTTCACCCAGCAGGATCTTCCAGCTTGGAAACCGGCAATGACACCAGGATACGTAAGCTGGCACTGACCCTAAATATAGGTTTTTACATATGGCATTAAGTATTTGCATAGTACTCCTACCCTTATATGGCATTACTTCCGTTGTTGCAGGTGATAGCCATTTTCTTGATAATTGGGATTATTTTTGTACCGCTTGGACTAATTTGTCTTCAAGCTTCAAACAGAGTAATAATTGATTTCTTTTCTGTCTGATAGATGCTGAATTGGCATTAGTTTGGTTGTCATACTAAATGTGCACTCCTGCTCTGGGCGTGCAGGTTGCAGAAATCGTTCACCGTTATGATATTGATTGTGTACCTAATGCTTACAGAAGCAATAAGCAGGCCTATATCAAAGACAGCTCGATTTCGAAGGAATGCATTCAGAAAGTGAAGGTAGTTTCTTATCAGATCTAGTCAGACATCATTTCTCCTATTTACTTTTCATGTATCTAATCAGAAGTTGATGTTCAGTTTGGGACTGTGAGATTACATCAGGCACATATTACTGTTTTTCTTGTCCTATCTTCCTAATATTTCTATTACTTGTATGTTCATTCTTCAGAAAAACGTTGAGACTTGAGAGTGTATATTTACAGGTACAATACCACATGAAAGCTCCAATTTATGTGTATTATGAACTCGACAACTTCTACCAGAATCATCGTAGGTAATTACACGATTGGTTAAATTTACTTCTCAGAGTCTTGGAAAAAGAAACACTATGTCCTCTTGCTGAAACAAAAGGAATCTGTTAATGCTGAACAGGTATATCAAAAGTAGAAGCGACAAGCAACTACGCTATGGGCTGAAATACACTGATAGCTCATGCAGTCCAATAGAAAAGAGCGACGGCCTTCCAATTGTTCCCTGTGGATTGATTGCCTGGAGCTTGTTCAATGATACTTATGATTTTACCCGTGGATCCATGGGAATAGTGGTTGATCGGAAAAATATTTCATGGAGAAGTGATCGGGAGCATAAGTATGGCAAGGATGTCTATCCTTTCAACTTTCAGAATGGATCTTTGATTGGAGGAGGAAAACTTGACCCTGATATACCAGTGAGTACTTCTTTATCTAGAGTGTTGTTGGTTGCTCATGCATTAGTCTACATTTTTCCTTAAGAAGACAAGTTAATGCTAGTTTTCTTCCATTTTAACTGAACAACGTCCTTTTGTCAGCTAAGCAATCAGGAAGATCTTATCGTGTGGATGCGCGCAGCTGCTCTTCCCCAGTTTCGAAAGCTGTATGGTGTCATCGAAGAGGATATACAAGCTGATGAAATCATTACCATGCACATAACAAACAATTACAATACCTACAGCTTTGGTGGAAAGAAAAGCCTGGTTCTTACAACATCAACCTGGCTAGGTGGCAAGAATGACTTTCTTGGATATGCATATCTTATCACTGGTTCCTCGAGCATTTTCTTGTCGATTCTCTTTGCTCTGATCCATGTGAAAATCCCAAGGTAATCGATAAGGTGAATGTTTCGAATTATCCTTTGTGACCATCTTCTACTTTGTCCATATCTCTCTTAGAGCATGTTGTCTGAAGGCGATAATACTACTAGTCTTTGATTCCCCGGTCATAACAGCCTAACACTGTAATTACGCAGCAGTTAACAAAACCTCCTAGTGACGATTGTTCAATTGCATGTACATTCACATACGCTGTACATACTGTAGTTTGTGGATTGGCTAGATCTGTTTCTCATAGCTGATGAATTTGCAGGCCACATGGTGATGCTGCTTACCTATCTTGGAGCAGGAAAAACGGCAATAACTAAGCTTCTGTGCATAGTTTTTTCTTTGTGTAAGGTACACGCTCTGATCGACAGTAACCTCCCTGGAAAGCCAGAAGGAAATATCCTGTTTCTTTTACCTGTCACAACATGCGGTTGAGATAATGCTCCAAGTACTCCCTCTGCCGTGCAGCTAGCAGTACAGCACCCTGGCCAGAGGTTTCCCCGCGGCGTTCCGTCTGCGCACCCTGTCTCGAGGGAAATGGCATAGTAGCAGCTTCAGGTTTCATACACTCGACACTTGGACGGAGCATGAAATGCGTAGCAGCTTCAGATTTCATACACATACTTGGAGCATGAAACGCTTGATGACTGCTGAGGATATACGGTGAGGCCATGGTTCACCGACATGTTCGTGCAATTCAGGCCAGCGCTCTGACGGCGCCCTCGAGGAAAACTAGAGCCGTGTAAAAACTGATATATGTGTATGTAAAGCGCCATACCATGGATTCCATGATGTTGTATGAATGAATACATATAGTGTTTCAGTTTCGTGCCGATGTCGAAGCATGCTTTTCCTCCTCTTGAAAAATCCGGTACTCAGACGACAGTCCCACCTGAACAGACTCCCATCTAGCGCAGACGTGACACTCGACCACTCTGTCCTACTCGGTCGTGCGTCGCAAGATCGATCAGAGGCTCACATCACTCACACGCTGACACCCTAAAGCTGGCCTCTATGATTTGCCTTTTAATTTCCCCTCTATGATTTGGTCCCGTGTCTCCACCATCATATCATTTTGTCTCGGCGTCGCGTCATCTACGTACGCTACTATAGCTGGCCATCTGTCTCATTCGCCCGTTTAAGACTGGATACATGCAAGGAATTATACTTACTGTATCGCCGCTGCAGATGATTAAGCAGGGCTGTGTTTGCGTCGCGTGCGATGCTAGCAGAAGCGACGTGTCCCGCTCAGAGGCCGCTGCGGCTCTGCGTCGTAGGAGGAGTACGTCTGTACCGGTCGAGCAGGGGGGTGTAGCTGCCATGTGGACGTTTACCGGTAACTCGATACGACAAGCCTGACACTGTTCGGCCACCTTGTCATGCGTGGCGGCTGCCGGCCCGCTGCTGCGGCTGCTGCTGATGATGATGTGTACACAGTGGCGCGCAGTTGTGGCTGGTGAAGCACTAGGCACGGTCGCTGGTCCATGACGACGGGGTGGCATGCAGTGCCACGACGCCTGCCTGCTGCTGCTGCTGCTGCCCCGTTCTCAAGAATCTCCGTGTTTTTGGCGTGCGTTTACAGTGGCTCCGCCTGCAGAATGTCTCGGGCTTCCGGCATTGCCATGTCGCCCTGTCGTCTGCCGTCGACCGCTTCTTCCTGTCCTGGTCGATTCAATGGGATCCGCAGTGATTAGGTGCGATCGTCGGCGAGTGGTCACGGAAATGTCGAGCCAAACCAGCTTGAAGCTGAGAGGGTGCTTGGATACAAGGGACTATTTTTAGTCTGACTAAAAATAGTCTCTTTTAGAGGCTAAAGTTCCAAGCACCCCTGACTAAAGAGAGGCTAGGACTAGTCTTGAGGCTAAAATCTTTTAGTCATGGGAAACCTACTAAAATATGTATTAACTCTCTCTCTCCTCATTTAATTCCTCTCCTTAGTTCTGGATTAGAGGGTTTGGAGAATAATAAATGCTCAATAACTAGATTTTAGTCTCTTTAGTATTTGGATCCAAGCATGGGTGAGACCAGCAAGTTTTAGTCCCACTACTTTTAGTCATGGGACTAAAACGTATCCAAGCATGCTCTGAGGCGGTAAAATGGGAGTAACATGTTCAGTGCTCAGAGACCGACAAGTGTCCAGCATCAGCCAGTGGCATGCTGATAGGTGGCATGGAGGCTTAACCTATCAGCGGCAACAGCCAATCCCCAGACTGGTAGCAAAACACGATGCCGATGATATCCCCTGTCTGCAGCCTCGTAGGAGTACCACTATAGATGATTAGGGTTTGTTATTATCAGCTGCCCGCATCACGGCCGTCCCGATAAAGATTGTTTGTTGGAGATACGAGGCACCTCTTTGCAAGGAGTGTGGCGCCGTGCCCTCATTCCCACATGCATATGGCGGCCAATATTTTAACACCAAGAAGGCTTCAGACAAACCCGGGCCTCGTCGGGGAGCATGACCACGACGTCTACAGTTTGGATCGCTGTCGCCGGTGCTGTTCGGGAGAACCATTATTAGTTACAAATAGTACGGCTACTGGACCCGTTTCACTGTTTGGTTTGCGTGTAACGAAGATGCCACGTTGAGAGGAGTAATTATTAGAGCAACTCTATTAGAGTTTATTCGAAAAAAAACTCTATCAGCGATCGTACGTCATATATATACTCCCTCCTTTTCTAGCTAGGACGCGGCTAACTGCCACACGTGTGGCATACTAGCCATCCGTCACACACCGTATGTAGCGTGAGCAGGAGGCAGCCCACATGGATTGTGTGTGTGCGAACATTAAAATTGCCCACACGGGTGGGTACAGCTACTTCGTGCCACACACCCAACAAAGTGCAACTCATCTTCAACCCGCGTGTGTGGCACGAAGCAAAAATGCCCACACATCCTAGCACAGCTACGTTAGGTACTCCCGCGGAATGATGATTTAGTTGACATCCGGGATGGCAGATGTAGTTATCCGGGATGGCAAATGTAGTTGTAGAAGCATGGCAACTTTATCTGTTTTGTTAACTATAGTTGTCATGTCTAATTTATGGTAGTTGCCGCATGTAATCAAGTCATAGTTGCCGTGTGTGATTAACTACTTGCCACTATGGTCAAACAATAGTTGCCATGTGTGTTTACCTAGTTGCCACGTGTGGTCCAACTATAGTTGCCATGTATGGTTAATCATAGTTGCCATGTGTGTTTATCTGGTTGCCACGTACGCGCAACTGCAGTTGTCGTCTTGCAACATATCATAGTTGCCATGTGTGTTTACCTAGTTGCCACGTACGCGTACTACATTTGCCATTCAACAACATATGAGTGTCGTATGGGCGAGATCAGTTCACCCACACACGCGTGGACTAGGTGTTGGCTGTGTGGGCAGAAACTAATTCGCCCACACAGCGCAGCTGCCAAACCGCGTGATGCGGGCGTGTTGGCGAACTCTCCAACGCCCACACACCAGCCCCATCCTACATGGCACACGAATTCTGCCTCTATGTGTCAAGATTCGTGCAAGCTCGACTGGACGGTCATCCACGCGTGTGGGCGAGTTGCAAAACTGCCACACGTGTGGGCGTTAGTTTTTCCGCTTTTCTAAATATAAGACTTAGAGATTGCAATACGAAGTACGTACGGATGTGTATAGACGTATTTTAGAATGTAGATCCACTATTTGTTCTGTATGTAGTCCATGATGAAATCTCTAAAACATCTTATATTTAGGAACTGAGCGAGTAGAATATAGAGGGTGCTTATTTAGATCGAACAATTCAACTATTACAAACCACTAACCCTAATACAAATAATCCAAATTAACAAATAATTGGAATGCAACAAATAATCCAATCAAATAAATTGTTCAAGTAGAGATAAATGAAACTGGGGCACTATCACCTAGCTAGCTGCTAATGCTGATCAATGAGACCTTCCTTCAGCGGATGATGTGACGGTACACCTCAAGAAATGCTTGAATGTGCATTATGTGCTTGAGAGGCTTGATTGTTGTGCTATTAGGTTCATAGTCAATGTGGCCTCGCATCTTCCTCTCATCTTTTATTTATGATCATGTTGTGTAGAGTAACACAACATGTCATGATATTTTCCAAGATATTCATGTTCCAAAAACGAGTAGGCCCTTGGACAATTGCAAATCTTGATTGCAACGCTCCAAATGTCCCCTCAATGTCTTTCCTCCGTGCTTCTTAGGCCTTGGCAAAATGCTTATGTCTGCTGCTCCCAGGTTTAGAAGTTGTCTTCACAAATGTTGACCAAGATGGATAGATGCCATCGGATAGATAGTAGCCTTGGTCATGCTGATGGCCATCATAGTGCATTGCAAGGGCGGAGAAGTGCCAGCACCTAGCCTTGCAAATTGATGAGATCTCTGCAAGACATTAATGTCATTGTGAGATCCCAAAGTAGCAATGCCAGATCCACAAATCTTCGGAGGCAACAACTTTCAAAATTACGGTTAGATCCTTGTAATGCCAGGTGAATAGGCCATGTCAACCTGCAGGGCAATTCCTCCACTTCTAGTGCATGCAGTCAACAATCCCTAGCATCCCAGGCTATCCTTTTGATTCACGCATCGCTAGTAGCCTGGTTGTGTTCTCGACATTGGGTGCTCGGAGATACTGCTCTTCATAAACCTTCACCACAGTTCTAGCGAACACTTTTGTGCACTTGATGATTGTATCTTCGATTATTCGAAGAATGTCATCCATTGAATCTATAGGAGAGCCACATGCAACATCTGAATTGCCGCAATCACCTTCTAAAATTTGGAAAAACACAGGAGAAGGGCGGCATTTCTCTGTTATTGGAGGAAAGGTTCAATGGCTTTCATGCCCTCAGCGATTCGACAGACCAACCAGTCGGTCATGCGTAAGCGTCGCCGGAACACATACGGTCTGAAAGTACAACCTGGCACACCAGTTGTGGCCTCTGATTCTATTCCGATAAAATATCCGACGATCAACTTGCAATCTTGCACTATTTCTCTTATGTTCGATGGATGCTATCCATTTAGTGACCATCAGTATGACTGCGTCTTCTTCTGCGTCCAACATTTCACTCCCGGAGTCGGAGCTCAAACCTAAGAACGAATCATCAGAAACATAAACTCTGTAGTGGGACCCATCTTCACATAATGCGAATTCTATGTCTTTTGTATGAATCTATGAGCCGCTAAACTAAATCTGCAAAAAAAGATTGGGGAAATTTACCTTGAGGCCATGCGGAAGGGTCTGCGCGGCCGGATGACGGATAGAAGGCACAAGGCCACGGCGAAGCGTGGGAGTTTTGAGAACGGTTCAGCTG